AGAGAGAGAGAGAGAGAGAGAGAGAGAGAGAGAGAGAGAGAGAGAGAGAGAGTTTCTTCTTCTTCTTCTTCTTTCTCATCCTGCCCTCCATCGCTCCTCCTGTTTCCCTCTGGAGCTTCTTCTTTTTCTTCTGCTGCAATATGCGCGCGCGCGCGAGAGAGAGAGAGAGAGAGAGAGAGTTGACATTGGGACTTGGTGACTTTCGGGCTTCGCCCAGTCCAGTGACATTGCAACTTGACATTGTATGAGCAGTGACATTGGGGGTATATTGGAGACTGGGTCATCGGGCTATGGCAGTTGATACTCCCTATCTCCCTCTTCCCTTTGTGTCTCCTCTCTCCTTCGTCTGTGGATGATGCGGACTCAGCGCCCTTCCATTATTGCAGCGCTGAGTCCACTCACACAGAGTGATGATGAGTGCTGTCAGGTCCTGTCACTGTCGATGCTGAGTTAGATCTTGGTGTGCTATATTTGTCTGAGAGGGCAGTTCTTGGTTCTGATCGGTGCTGATTAGGCATGCGACACTTGCCCTTAATGTCTTTGATGCTTGCTGAGGTTTGGGTATGTTCCTGCTCTGGTTGTAAACTTTCCTGAAGTCTGACGAATGCCGACCGTAGATGTGTAGTATTCCAATTTTATATCGTGAATTTGAAGGCCATATTAATGTCATATAAATGTAGTGTAACCGTCTCCAAAATAAGACTTCTGTTGTCCAGTTAAAAGCATGGATGGGTGAATTCTTCCAGTTTGCTTGCAGGCAATTTCTATGATTACATTGACTAGAGTAATTTCGCCAGCAAACCGATGCTAATTATAGGCTAGAGTTTGTGCGGCGGAATGGGTTGGTGATTTCATGGTTTTGTTACTTTTGTATGACCTGAAAACCGATGCTAATCTATTCTGCAGCATTGGTTGTAGTGTTGACTGCATAGAATTGCTGCGAAGTTTGTGGCAGGAGTAGGTTGTCTTCTCCTTAGGGGCCAGGAACTCAAAATGTCATCTGTATGCCTTCCTGTCCTAGCTTTGTGTTCCCTACTCCTTTCAGGGCTGAAATGGTCTCTACTTCAGTGATTTGTCGTTTGCTGAGTGAGCTGCATTTGTTGCGGCTGATGAAGATGGGTACACTCCTTAGAGGGTGTTTTTAGACGTGCTTTGTCATCATTCTCATGGTTGTAGTTGGCATGGAGTGAGTGATAGATAACCTGAGGCAATCTTCATCGTCGATATGTTGTGTTCTGGAACAGTTGGGAGATTGCATATTACCCCAAAGGAATTGCAGCTGGCTTCAACGCGTCTGATTCGCTGCTGCCACATCCAGGGCACCAGAAGTGAACCAGTTCCTTCCAAGAGGTTGGGGGACACTAAACACCCCACCTAGGCAAGAAGAAGCTGTTGAGATGGACTGTATGCGTGAACAGATGGCTGGCTTCATTGAGCACGGCCTTTTCGATTCTGCACAGATGCTTGGGAACTTTTTGATCGGTGCTTCATCTGCGAACAATGAACTTTTGCCGTCTGCTCGTGCGGAAATACTCGTGTACTATGGTGATGCACTGTTTGGGAAAAAGGAATACCGCCGTGCCTTGAATGTCTATCGTCAGGCCTTGCAACTGTGCAGAGTCTCACCAAGAAGTAGTTACTTTGCGAGAGGAGCAGGTGGTGGCACCAAGTTGGCCGGTTCTGGGGGCGGAGGGGCAAGCACACCAGGGCAGGGATATGCAGCACCATCTGGCATACCAGAAGGAGAGGTTAAATTTAAGATGGGGCTTTGTCATTTGGCGGTCAAGGAGACGAGATCAGCGTTGGCAGAGCTGGAAACGATCCCATCAAGATCACGTACATTGCGAATCAACCTGACACTGGCGAAGCTGTACCATCAAACGGGGTATGACCGAGCGGCAGTGGCTTCTTACAGGGAATGTTTAAGGCAATGCCCGTATGTGTTGGAGGCGATTGTTGCATTAGCACAACTGGGTTGCAGTGCAAAAGAGATTCAACTGCTTTTGCCGCAGCCCCAGACGAAGAATGGAAGGGCCTCCAACGATCAGTTTGACCCTTCACGCTGGCTCCAGCGTTTCGCAGAGGCACACTGTGCCGCCGCTTCCCACGATTCCAAAGGTGCAATCGAGCATTTTACTGCATTGGCAATGCGCTTCCCTGGAAACCTGCATATTCTGCTTGAAACTGCTAAGGCAGAGACAGCAGCAGGTAGGCTTGATGATGCTATCAACACGTACCAAAAGGCGAGGGCAGTTGATCAATACAACATGGATTGCATGGACGAATATGCTATCGTTATGCGACAGAAAGGGAACCTCATGGAGGTCAATCGTTTAACACACGAACTGCTGAACATCGATGCCAGGAGGCCTGAAGCATGGGTTGCGTCAGCTGTCTATTGGGAATCAAAAGACGACAAAGTCAGAGCGCTATCCTATGTGGACAAAAGTGTACGCGTGGACGATCGGCATGTCCCATCCTTCATCATAAAGGGGAACCTGTCGCTGGCATTGAACCGATCAGACTCTGCGGTTACCGCATTTCGTAAGGCGCAGGCACTGAAGCCAGACTTGAGGGCGTATCAAGGGTTAGTCAGGGCATACTTGTCCATCCCGAAGCACAAGGAAGCCCTATGTACGGCAAGGGAGGCTATGAAAGCCATGCCGCAATCGGCGTGGGCAATGGCGCTAGTGGGGGATGTGTACGCTCATCATAGTGATAGCAGGGACAAGGCACGCAAGTTCTATGAGAGTGCTCTGAGGCTGGATGCCTCATGCATGGACGCAGTTCTTTCGCTGGCAGAACTGAACCATATGGAAAGCCGGAATGAGGAGGCGGCTGCCATCCTTCAGAGGTATTTGCGAAGCACAGCTACTGATGCCCTCCACGCAAAACTAGCTCAGGTGTTGGCCTCCACAAACAAGTTTGGGGAGTCCTTAGCTCACTATCAGGCAGCGCTCAGCATGAATGCTCAGAATGAGGCAGCACGGAGGGGACTGGAACGCCTGGAGAAATTGATGAAAGGTATTGACCCAGACGCCACAGAAGAGGATGAAGACAGGGAGGCAGAAGATGCAGATGTCGATCCTGATGAAGGGCAATTTTCATAGTGGTGGTCTGTCAGAGCTGAGCCAAGGAAGTTATTGGAGAGCGGCCAACAGGACGGGAGGCCGGTCAGATGTATTCATAGAGTCATGGGATGTGAGGCACTGCGTTCAAGGTCTGTGCAAATTGGTGAGTATAGAAACATGCTTCGAAGGAAGAGAACGTGGGAACATGCTCTGAGAGGTGGGAATTACACTGGCTGCTATTGATCGTTGCTGTCATGCTCACTGTACCATCACCATTTTTTCACACTCGGCTGGAGGATATACTACCTGCCCGTTATGGCCGAGCGCGAGTTGTACTTCGTGGTGGGTAAAGGTCCTCATCAAGTGTGGAGGCTACCCTCTGGGCATCATCAAAGGTCATCATCATAGTGTGGAGAGTCTGGAGACCACCTTCTGGGCATCATGAAAAGTCATCATCATAGTGTGGAGACCACCTTCTGGGCATCATGAACGGTCATATTTTGGTCCCATCTTCTCCCTCAGTATCTGTTTTTGTTTTCCCTGCATCACTGCAAAGATTCAGATCCTCAAGATTGTGAAATTTGGCACTGCCAGGAGTGTGACAAGTAGAGAAACTTATACGGAGGCCTAGTGAGATGTATGAGATTGCACTTCTGGCCAGTTTCTGTTAGGAGAAGTTCATGTCTGAGTGGTGTCGAAGTACTGGCTGCCTGAGGAGTAAATCAGGATGGGATGTATGCGACTGCACTTCTGGCCAATTTCAGTTAGAAGTTCATGTCTGTGTGGGGTCAAAGTAGTGGCTGCCCACTGAGTAAATCAGGATGGGCAGTGCTGATGGCTTGCACAGATGGGTGTGGTGGAAGTCGATGTGAGGAATTACACCTGAGACTTGTCAAAATGGTCAGCACGGAAAACATGCTTTGAAAGGAGAAGAGGGAATTGTGATTGATGGTAATAATGATGATTGCTGCTAGTCATCCTTACTGGGCTGTCACCTTTGTTGCAGCCAGCTACCAACGTCTGCCCACCATAACTGATCGCTAGTGGCACTTGAAGCTGCAGCACGTCCTTTGGGCTCCATCAAAGTTAATGTCTCCTTATGTTTCCGCTTGTTTGATGTGAAATGGTGTTCACGCAGCTGGATGCATGTGGGAGATTATCCCAAAAGGCGAACTTGGGCAGTGCGAGTGGTGTGGCAAGTGGGGATACTCATATTGAGACGTTCTGGGATGTATTCGAATTCAAGTATGACCGTATTACATTTGTAAATGCCCTGTCTAACCAGATCTGTAGTAGTGCTGGCTGCTGAGGAAAAACAGAGGTCAATTATACACTGAACATGTCTCGAGAGTGTACAGCATGCAACTGCCTAGTAGGATGTCTAGGTGAATGTTGATCCGAAGTGGGCCTCGACGCTTGGAACTACTGGTAAAGGACTGCATGGTGAGCCTCAGAGCTTGAAACTGCTGGAAAAGGACTGGTTCGCTGAGTGTCACAGGCAGAAGAGCGAAAACAGTCCAGCACTTGTCCGGCAACATAGGCCTGTCGCAGCCAGAAGGGTCTGTGTTCTTCAGCCATTCATCGGTATACTCGTTAAGGAGAAAATAATTGCACCGGCTTGTATGCCCAGGAGCTCCTGCTGCAGGTAGACACATCGATCCTATACCGAGATGTGTGTTCCTCCTCAATTCTATTGCGGCAGGCAGGGAGTTGTCTAGGTTGAGCAAAGTATTTAGCAGGAGTGTTATGGCGTGCTCGTCCCCAGTTTTGGCATGTGGCTGACCTTCAGGTTCAGTGAGGGGAACGACTATGAGGCCAGGTGGGCTAGGTCAGAGAAAGGCAGGCAAGGAGTTGTAAAACTGAAGGCCCGAGGTGACTGTGAATATTCTGATAGGGAATGACCTGGAGCAGCACAGCAAGTGCCGAGTGATACCTAGGGTTTTGAACTATTCTTTAAAGATTTCCTGGAAATCTTTTTGTAACTTCTTTTTGAGTTTCTTCAGATGGCAGGTAGGTGCTGAATTAACATTCGGATTGGGGCTTTGTGGAAGTAATATGCCATGAGCGCACAATTTTGGAAGTGGGAACTGAAAAATCTTCTACCCTGCTGGTGGTGGTCAGTGCATTGTGGTCAAAGTTACGACCGGGGATAGTAAAAGTACATCATGGAGTTACTCAGGGGAGCTCACAGTTTGAGCAGTGGATAAGGTGGGTTTTGTAGTGCTCTCGCACAATGTGAAGTTGCTGTGATAATAAAACCCGATGGTTCTTCACCATTGTGTTTTGATGCAGGCTTGGATGCCATGCCCCACAGGATAATTGTTTTCAATGCTTCCGTGCTCTGTTGTATTGTTTCCTCCAGAGGTGTGTCAGAGGGTACTCTAGTCAGCTCATTTTCAGAACTCGTGGGACTCCAAGAGTCCATCAATCGTCACTCTTCCCCATTTGACTGCGGCATTGCATGCTTCATACGGAAAGTGCAACCTTTGTCCACAGCTAATCAGAGTACTGCCATACGTAAGTTACCCATCACTTTGAATGGTGGATGCGCCAGTGCATGAGGGAATTCAGCTCAGTTTCAGAACTCGTGGGACTCCAAGAGTCCATCAATCATCACTCTTCCCCATTTGACTGCACGCTTCATACAGAAAGTGCAACCATTGTCCACAGCTAATCAGAGTACTGCCATACGTAAGTTACCCATCGCTTTGAATGGTGGATGCGCCAATGCATGAGGAAACTTCACCTGCACTGGGTCCGATAAGTCAATATGTTGATTAATACCTGTGGAGGCTGACAGGGGCGTCACCCGAGAACTAGCTCCACACCCATCCTCCCAAGAGTAATGGGTCCAGGTACCATGCTGTGGTCACTACTTCGGGAGAAAAGGAGACCCTCTCATGTAGGGGTGGTTTATGAGAACAACAGAAGAAGACATCGAATCGAAGAGTGGTTAACATAAAGATGAATGTCAGAACATGTTGAGAAGTACCTGTTTGCTGTGACCACCTTGCAGGCAGGTTATGTCTGTCGGGGGGAGGGGCACAAAGTTGTGGGTGTTTCCTGATTTGGCTAACTCTGATCTCCTTCAAAGGAAAATTTGGGGAAAAAAGTACAAAACATAGATGTGTGATAGGTGCTGTATGCATCTGCTGCCTGCCAGAAAAAGAAGTTGATGGGGCGAAAACTTGTACGAGTGCCCCCTTTTGGTGTGACCAAGCAGGCCTGAAATAACTAGGTTTGGTCTTCCAGGGTGTTGGTAGAAGCCGATTGGACAAAAACTGGTGAATGCTTCTGCTGCCTCCCAGAAAAAGAAGTCGATGGCACAGAACTCATATGGGTGCTTCCCTTTGTTGTGACCGAGTAGGCCTGAAATTGCTAGGTTTGGTCTTCCAGGGTTGGTAGAAGCCGATCAGATAAAACAGGTGCGTGGCCAGTGGGGGTTTGAACTTTCACTGCACTTTGCTCATAGACAGAAAAATGCAAAATGTCCAGCTGTTGCCATTGCGATAGACACTTTTGGACAGAGGCGGCAACGCCGGCAAGTATGCAAAGAAGAATGTGGATTACAAATCTGCACCGGCCACAGAATTCCATTCCACCGCCAAAGCTGCAAACCAGGTTTTGTCTTGCCTCTCATTGGACATGGCCGCCGAGCGCAGGTTGTGATGATCCCACAGGGCATAGAGGAAGGTTTTGGACGACAAAATGGTATGCAGCCCATCTCCTCCATGCCTGTGCGAGGATTTTACCCCCCGGCATACCAGCATAAGGCCCCTGCATCTGGCGAGTGAAGGCGGGCCCCTGAATCTCAATGAGCCCTGAATTCGTGAATTTTTGCAAATCTTTGTGGGCACGAGACAGTTGCCACGTGCCAGTTGGTTACATCTGCCTTGCACTTGAGAATCTGAAATATTTGTAAGCCTTCCAGCCTCTTCCAGCAACGTTGGGAAAGCAGGGAACACGACACGTTTGTGCCTGGGTGGTTGGGCGGGCATTCATAACCAATTCGGTCCCAGGCTACTGTCTGAACGGGCCTGGCCGCAGACATTTTGGCCCAACTCCAGGCTAGAGGGCACACACGTTTCCCAGCGAGGCAGCAAAGCTGCGAGCACTTCCCATTTAGCAAAGTGCCTGCCAAGGAAGCAGGCATTCGGGCACTACGCAGTGCTTGCGGCAGCGCTGCTGGGTCACTTGCTCGTGCACGGCTTGCTTGCTTGCGCTAGCGCTGGAGAGCAAGCGGGGTCACTGGAAGAAGGGCGCTGCTCAAGGCAGCGCCATAGCCAAGCCGTCCATGAGAGAGAGAGAGAGAGAGAGAGAGAGAGAGAGAGAGAGAGAGAGAGAGAGAGAGAGAGAGAGAGAGAGATGAAGGGTATGATGTGAGGGCACGTACCTGGTCGTGGCAGGGGTCTGGATAATTGACATCTGCACGTACTTCGGTGACTCCTGCTGACGTCAACTGGTTGCATTGTCAATTCGTAGTGTGGTGAAGTAGCTGTGTGATCCTAGTCTGGGCGCTGAGCGCTAAGTAGGAGGATGGGCTCTGGAAACATATGTTGGTGGTGGCGAGAGTATGCTTTCATTGACATTTGAATTAGGTGCTTAGGTTCTCCATTTGCAAAATAGCAGTGCATTTCTGCTTTCTGGACAGCGTTCGACTACCCGACTTTCAACTGATTTTGCAATCTGTCGCTCATTTTTGTTGCACCTGTCTTAACCAAGACGAAGGAATCACTTCTGGAAGAGCTGTTACATGATGCACAACCCACCTCCACTTTTGTTCTTGTGGCAATCAATCAATCAGGGCGTCGTTAGACACTCCTATTGAAATCCTCGGGCAATAGGAAAGATTCCTAATGGCTCAAAAGGAAATTTGGGCCCGTCGTTCACCTGTCCTTGGGGACGTCGCCCGAGGACATCTCCTAAGACAGATGTCAGGAAAGAAAAAAGAAAAGAAAAGAAAAAAAAAACAGTTGTGCTTCAGGCCTTCAGCCAATGGGATGCAGGCACAATCCAGAGGCTCGGCTGTAACGTCATCTACCTGTGTGACCTCTCCTCTCCGTCAAACGCGGATTCCTTGTGCCCAAGGGACCTCGCGAGGTCTCTTCTTGGGCAAAGGAAAAAATGGCTGTGGAAATCCCTATTGCCCGAGGAAAGCGTTTTCACTTTTTTTTTCGGATTGCATACCCGAGGATAGGTGGAACGAACAATTCCTTGGGGATTTCGTGTCCCTGAGGAGTGTCTAACGATGCCCTCAGTCACACGGATGTCCCTGTTGTCAATCAAGCCTCCCCTAACGGGTAAAGGCCCAGCTGTGGGTAAAGGCTGTTTTGAGGCATCTGATAATGAAAATGGTACTAGGACAGTTTTTAGACTTCGCTGATCATTTGGCCGTCATTTGGCCATCAGTCTAGTTCATTATGCCTCTCAGGGCATACTCACACAAGGTTATTAAAATCACAAAACTTGCTACTTCATTCCAGGTTGACAAGCAGTTTTGGTGCCTCCCCTGGCTGCAATGGTGGCGCAAATCACAAGCGACATGGTTGTGGCCTTGTGGGATTGGCCTTGTCCACTGGTCACACAGCAGCGGCGAAATCCCACCACTTTTTTTTTTGGTTTTAAATTTTCTCCTTCACAGTCCGCCGAGGTACGGAAGGCACCTTCTTGAAAAGAGAGAGGCACACAATTCTCCCATCGCGTAGCCTCTGTGCTGCTTGTATCATCTGCTGTGACAAAAGTGGACAAACCTTCTTGGTGGAAAACCTATCCCTCGGCATGTGCACGCTCTTAGGGCCAAGCCTTGCACATGCAATACACACACACACACACACACACACACACACACACAATGTGGATGGAAAGACAGCTTTGCAAAGAATATGAGTGAGAATGATATACAGAAAGCGAAGTTGCGAAATCACACAGATGTCCAAGTAGTCATGTACCAAGCACAGAGCATGAATGCGCCAAGATTCCATCCACATAAGGGCATTACAATGAACTCATCAGCCAATGTTCAAGCCTTCAGGCCACACCAAAGCAGTATCCAATCTTGCTCCTACTGTATGGCTCCCAACGCCCTTCCTACTCTACCTAGCCTATCCTACTACAGCCGCATTCACGCAACAGACTCACTTCGACTTTGAAGACCAATGTACATGACGTCAGCACCATAGCGGACCTCCCTCATGCACCAGGTACGTATCTCATCTCCCCTCATCAACCCTGACCACCCACACTCGCCTCCTTACCGAAGATCACCGACCGTCGTTTACCCTCCTGCGCCCTGCAGCCCGGCTATGGCTGCTTGCACACTGCCGCCCTGCAGCACCCCTCTCACCTTCCAGCGCCCGCATGCGCCCGTGGCCGATAACGCAGCAAGCAGCCACTTGGGCAGCAGCGCACGAGCGTGACCAAATTGCCAGCGTGGGCCAGAATGCCAGACCCTGGCTGCCTTACTTCCTATATCGAAGTGACAACCTCTGTTTGGCTGCGTGTGGGCCTGGATGAGAATTTTTGAGTCGGGCCCCTGTGCCTGCGCCCAGGACCCTCTCTTCAGTTGAGGGCATGGGCCCTTTATAGTTGGGCACACCCCGGATTTCCAGACTTCGGTCGTTTGTTGCATTCGCACAGGCCCTGGGGTAGGTATGTCGACAATGCTGCTTTCTCGTAGCCCCGCCGCCACTTCGTGATGCATCTGCCTTCCAATTTGTGTGCCCAGGCGCAACTACCCGGTCCTGGGCCCAACTGTTCGGCGCAGCACATGTTTTCTGGAAAGAGCAGGGGGGCTCACATTTCCTTGTAACCGACTGGCGTGCTGCAACTACCTGAGTTCCCACATATGGAAAAGTGTCAAATTTTGGCCTCTTGTGAATATTCAGGCCCACCTTCACTTAGGGCGGGCACAAGGCTTGCTGAGGGCCTCTGCCCAGAACATGTGCACGTCTGATAAGGGGCCCGCGAGGGCTTAT